ATGTTCCGCCTACACTCGGTAATCGTCTGTTGGTTGTTCTAACTTTGTGGTTCATGCGAGGATAATATCGCAGTAATGATCATCATCCACGTTTAGCTGAGTATATTAAACGTTTCTGTCTTTTATGTTCCCTTTCTCTGTACAGCTTAAATAATTACATAATTTTGTACCCCAAGTTCTGTGTTTTCTTGTTAATTTTCCGTCTCGAATGATAGTTTCGATGTTCATAAATATGCTGGGTATGGGCGGCCCTTTCTTCGTTGACATTCAGTGGAGTGGGCTAAAGCCTGTAAGCTCTGGCGACTCATTTCTCTCACATTGAGATTACGGAAATCGGTCAATTTATGTTGTAATTGATTACCACTTTTTATATAGGACGCAAAATGTCTGCGAGCCTCAGCTACGTCACGCTGCGGATTACAGATGAAGTTTAGCTGAGTAACATACAGATCTGACTGCATGAAGCTGTGTCCTTGAGAAACTGACAGTCGGTCAGGGAGTTATGAAATTCTCCGCGTTTTATGAAAAATATGTTCATTACCGTGCTCACAAGAACCCGCCACGAGTCGGCATATCCAGACCAATCTGTTCCACACTCTCCTAACAAATTTCTATATGATCCATTTTAATATTATCCTACCATCTGTGCATAGGTATTTCGAGTGGTCTCTCCCCTCGGGCTTTCCAACCAATAAATTGTCTGTGTTTATTGTAGTCCCCGTGTATTCTACATGCCTTTCCAATCACACCCTCCTTAATTTGATCATCCTAATAATATTTGGTAAAGAGTAAAAGTTGTTTAGATCTTTGTTGCTTAGTTTTCTCCTCTCTCCTGCCATTTCGTCAATATAAGGATCGCTTGTACGAAACTAATTTCATTTTGAATTATTACATCATTAAATATCTATACACAGAAGGCTGTCGTATTATTACCTTTGTAATAACTTGGCAGGAATTGAAATGATATCGTTCAAAAAACTGAGCTAGCAGACATTTTCCAATGTATTTTACTGGTGGCTTTCACAAGAATTACGAGCTCTCCTTATTATGATACATCATCTGATTTAAGTCCTTAGGAAGGCTAGAGATTGAAGAATAAATTGCTAGAAGCTGAGAGGAGAACGCGTTTGCAATAGGAAAGCTTGAAATGAATGCAAGGGCTTGGGCGTTTACCACGCATCATTACCGACTCGACTCCGTTAAAAGTAAATGGAATTTTGAAATATAATGTGTGAAGAAAGTTGGAAGTTGTGTGACAAAAACTCTTGCTTACCCCTGAAAATAATCCGCGGTACGATAAATGGCTTGCGTTTTTATGAAACCACAATCCATCCGATGTCACACTTTCCTTGTGCTCTCGTGAAAGTTTAAAACCAGCTGTTAACTTTTACATGTAGCGTCACATTTACGTAAGTCTTAGTCACAGGCTACATCACAGAACATCATCGTATGTGATTAATCGCCTTAAAACACACAACTTTAGAGTTTCGTTT